TGAATTCATTGAAAAATATAAAACACAAACATCGATAATACTTTACCAAATGAATACACTGGTAATTTATTTAATGCAAAAAAGATCGTTAAGAAATTACAAAAAATGAACTTTGAATTAAATAATTATATATCTTGCAATATTTCTTGGTAGACTACATTGGTAGTCTGGGAAAAGTTGGCTAGGGTGGTTAAGAGATTATGATAAGGAATTTTTTTTTTTTTGAAAAGGTTTATGATAAGGAATGGTTACTACAGAAACAATAACCTTAACCTGTTGTAGAGGCCATCCAATTTTTTAATAAGAAAAATAAAAATAAAATAAAAAAGGTTGGATATTAGGACTTTTATTCCTTGTCTCAGAGTGACTTTTGTTTTCAGTATTTTTATTTTATTATTTTTTTTTAAATATGATGCATTCTCACTTTCCTTCATTTTTTATTTTTTAGCCTCATTTGTTCGTTTGATTTAGTTATTTCTCATTACCTATCTAATAATTTATCTTTAATTAACTTATCCGTTGTCAGAAATACTTTATTTAAAATGTGAGGGTGGGACTATTTTTTTACCCTTAAAGAATATAATTTACCTATTTCTTTCTTCATTAATATCTTTGTAGACACTTTCGCAAATGTCAAATCCATCCTGCTCATTTTTTTTTTCAAATTAAAGTTAGATTTTTTAAGAAAACAATTTTAAAATTTGGTTCAAAAAATCATAAATTTGCCACATAAGATTTAGTCATATGTGGCATGATACGATACCTTAGATTTTCTCTCTCTGGAGTTTGCTTTACTATAATATATGTAGACTTCTTTTCAGGAAAAAAAAAGCAACCAAAAATTACGAGCCCAATTAGCCGCATAGATCCCTTAATATTTGTTAAAAACACGAAACATTTAGCAGTCATACACGATTAGACAAATAAATTTATCTTATTAAAAAGCACAAATATTGTTTTAGGAAACAAAAACTGGAATAAAAAAATTAAATAAATAACGAATTCAACAGTCACTGTACTATTGTTGGAATATAGTGTGCATTAGAAATCTAAGCAAATTTTCAATGGAATGATGAGCACAACCTGAACTTGAAATTTATTACTAAGATTAGCTAAACAGAGGTAATAATCAAACTATTCTAGATTTCAAAACAAATAACACCGTTAGAATCATGATTTCATCAGCATTCAAGAAGAACCATTTCGTCAGTATTCAAAGCCGTTTCTTGATTCCGTTTCTGCACGACAAAACAAACAGCTTCTCAGCTATTTTGCTTTCTATCCATCTTCAAACCATTTTTGTGAGATCCCGAGTGTTGAGACCTCTTTACCTAACGAGTAGTAGTTGATTCATGTATAAATTAGTATATTTATTTTTAATGTATATACATTTTGCCATTTAGGTTCAAGAAAGATAAACTAAAAATTTGGATTTCAAAACGTTAAAAAGGAAGAAGAAAGAATAGCCATAATTGAAGCCTTTTAATATTTTTATTCTTTGCCAGAGCCATTCATAGCTCCGCTACATCAACCTATCACCATAGTATTTTAACTCAATTCCATATTTGAAGCTAAATTATAGAAGTTTCAGGTTGGCCTAACTTCTTTAATTATTTTAATAAATTATTAATATAAAATTCTTTTTCGGTTGCGTTTTTTTTAGGAGGAAGAGATATGTCCATTGGATTTGCAGAGATTTGGTCGAATCAATATAGGGTTTGGATTTTTTCAGTTACGTTTTTTTTGGTTTTTATTGTTTTGTTTTGTGCATTTCTATATCTAGAAAATTAAGAAAATGCCACATAGGATAAAATTTTATGTGGCATGTGCTCCTTGACTTTAGATTCCTCTTTCTGGTTTTTGCCTTAGTATAGTATATAGCTGTATGTACATTTTGCCATTTAGGTTCAAGAAAGATAAATTAAAAATTTGGATTTCAAAACGTTAAAAAAGAAGAAGAAAGAATAGCCATAATTGAAGCCTTTTAATATTTTTATTCTTTGCCAGATCCATTCATAGCACCGCTACATCAACCCATCACCATAATATTTTAACTCAATTCTATATTTGAAGCTAAATTATAGAAGTTTCAGGTTGGCCTAACTTCTTTAATTATTTTAATAAATTATTAACATGAAATTCTTTTTCAGTTGCGTTTTTTTTTTAGGAGGAAGAGATCTGTTCATTGGATTTACAGAGATTTGGTCAAATCAATATAGTTGGATTTTTTCAGTTGCGTTTTTGTTTTTTTGGTTTTTATTGTTTTGTTTTGTGCATTTCTATATGTAGAAAATTAAGAAAATGCCACATAAAATAAAATCTTATGTGGCATGTGCTCCTTGACTTTAGATTCCTCTCTCTGGTTTTTGCCTTAGAATAGTATATAGATTAATATTCATCAATTTCAAAAAGCGCCTCTTTTGAAAGTTAGGTTTTTTTTTTAATAAAAAAAATCCATTTTGTTAAATAAAATACTACAGAATTAATCATATATGCACTAGGAATGCGAGTTTTACTTCTAGCTTGACCAAAAATTATATCCATGCGTTTGACAATTTACACCATACTCAAATCGGCTACTTGTATTTAAATTTTTACGGCAACTTTTTTTCAGGTGTCATTCCAAAAGAAATTGGAAATTTATCATTGCTGCAAACGGTGGATTTGAACAATAATTACAATATATCGGGTACGTAGAACTTTACAATTAACAATCTATATACCCGAGTATGAGTAAATTTTAAACACAACGGCTACAAAATGTCAGCTTATATATCCTGATACAATTGAAGAATTGGTGCTAATTTACGGGATAGAGAACAATACATGAGGCCAGAAAACATTAAGATTAACCCCTATTGGTTAGCTAAACTGAAAAGGTGCATATATCTACTATACATTAGATTTTTCCTTCGAATATGCATGGACTAGCATGAAATAAATGGTTACATCATTTTTTTTTTTTTTTTTTGGTAAAGAGGTCAATTTCATTACCATGTTAAAAGTTGTATCTACAACACTTTGATAAACTCAAAACTACTCTTTCCTATGACCAACATGATACAAAATCTAAATTCGAGATCTCCTACTAACAACCATAGGATCTAAATGTGGTTATATCATTATGGTAAGTTCGATTTCTGACGTGCATTGGGTGTTAGATCCGTGAGTTTGCAAAAACCATACTCTTAGTCAAATGTGATATAGGGTGTTAGATCTTTGCCTGTAAGTTAACATGCATGGTAACTCGTTGGTAGCACATAGTTTGAGTGCATCATACAACAAAGAGTGTGTATAAGTGTGTTATAGGCATGAATGTAAATGTTATATTCGTGCCTGTAAGTTTGAGTGCATCATACAACAAAGAGTAAACTATTCAAGTGGTTCTTTATATTTGTCAAAAAAAATATTTTGGCCTGAAATATTAATAATTCACTGGTTTAGTTAATGTATTATGTTTGTATTTTCAATTAATTTAGTCCTTTTTAATTTCTCGACAATTTACTTGTGGGGTTCTTAAGTGATCAATGGGTGAAGTCAACAAGGGTATTTTTACTAATTTGTTATTGTAATTGCTTTAAAATATAAAAAAATCACAATTTAATAAAAGTATGTTAACTTTAAATTAAATATTATAAAAAATTATTAACTAATTTTTTTAATCTAATTCTATCTTTTACCCAATAAATTGTTGATCTTAAGGACCAAGTTAGCTTTTTGGTAACTTAAAAGATAATTTAAGTAGTTTACTCTAGATCAAAATAGATAATGCTTAAATTTAATACATGTTTTTCAAAAAACGCAATTCATTATATCTCGACCGTGCATAAATATAGCTCGAAAAAATTTTATGCATGTTTATCCATTAGCAAGGCCCTTGCATTGATAACATAATACTACAGTACAAATCACTCAAAGCATCCAGAATGGTGGTATAAAAAAGTAAATAACCAATATCATCGTGTAGAGTGTAATAATTTGTAACGATATTAGAATTCTTACAATGTATAATACACTTTGTGTGGTCAATTATAATTAATTAGATTTATGATGATACGATAGTTATTTTATTTTATTACACTTTTATAGTGTAAAACAAATGTAAGGAAAAGTTGAATAAAAAGTATAATAGTGAAGAATTATAACATTACACTCAAAATAGTCTAAACCATTGTGGACACTCTGATATAAACACGCCGACCGCAACAATTTATTAATTTATAGAAATGATTAATTTATCGATGCAATTAATAATTAATTTACCAATATATTATTAGTTATTAATCTAAAGAGATTTTTTCCATTTCTATTAGGAAAGAAATAATGCACCTTTGATAAAATGATTCCAAAACTTTTGAACGCAAGAGAAAAAATAAATGACGGAATTTTCCAGTATAAACTTGAAGATAAAACAAATCTCATGAGCCTTATACTTTGAGAAAATCTTCTTAGTTTTTAATAATGTTTTAATAAATTATGGATTCATGATATTAACAAAACCTATCTATTAATATTTATTCATTTTAAAATTATTATCTTATTACTTTATCGATAGTTTTATTTGTGTATTGGGTTTCAAGTCGGAACCATAAAAATTTATCATTTAACAACGTTTATTAATTTAGACAGAACTTGTAATTATGTTGAAATATCATTTGACCAAAATAAAACAACTAAAAATTGTAAAGTTTAGGTTAAGTTGATGTATCTGCTATAATCCTCATTGCCGCAGCATGATAATAGCAAATGATTCAAGGTCTTTTTTTAAAAAAAATCAATTTCTCTTTGTTTATAATGGAGTTAGAAGAATTATCATTGGTAGCTCTTTTAGGTTTGTATTAATAATGAACTCGATTAAACTTTAAAGTAGTTTTTTCTGTTAGTGAAGTTGGTGAAACCAATATATCAACTGAGGTCATGTATTGCAACTGAAACAATTCTTTGCATGTGTAATTATGGGAGAAATTCTACTTACACTTGAACTCCCAAACATCGTTCTCAAAAAAAAAAAAAAAAAAAAAAAAAAACTCCCAAACATCCTTCTTCTTCTTCTTCTTCAAAAAAACTCACTCCTAAACATCTACTTTGGTTGAATCCCATGGGTCGTTTCTGTTTGATTGGATGATTGACGCGATCGTTTGTACCGTAATCATTTTCCTTTTTCTAAAAATATTTATTGCAATCTAGGTAAAGTAAAAACTCTATAAACTAATAGTATTAGGCTCATAAAAAATTTATTAATTTATAAAGATTATTATTTTATCAATAAATTAATAATTATTATTTTATCAAAAAATAAATACTTTAAAAAAATTCATTGCTTTAAGGAAAAAATTATTCAATATCAACCCTACTTTTTTTATTTTTATTTTTTTCCCTTTGGTGACGTCAGAACCCCACTAGAGATGGGCAAAACCCACGCTCACGGCAATAACTTGCAAATCACATTGAGAAGTAAACCACTCTGAGCAAAATGGCCAAACAAGGTAACAAAAAAGAAGCCAAAAAGTAAAATAAAAAGTAATGATTTTTTAATATTCAATTTCCTTAAAAAAATTAATATTTTTGGCTGATTCATTGCTTTTAATTTGATCTTTCTAACTGAAAATTTTCATCTGGGAATTGTTGTGGAGTATACTAGGTGTTAGACCCGTCTGATGGACAGGGACCACATGTAGATAGACATTACTACATAAACAAATAAAAAAAATGTTAATATTTGTATAGATTTTTGTATTTTTATAAAATATATAATGAATTCATTGAAAAATATAAAACACAAACATCGACAACACTTTACCAAACGAATACACTGGTAATTTATTTAACGCAAAAAAGATTGTTAAGAAATTTTAAAAAAAATGAACTTTGAATTAAATAATTATATATCTTGCAATATTTCTTGGTAGACTATATTGGTAGTCTGGGGTGGGAAGGTTGGTTAGGGTGGTTAAGAGATTATGGTAAGAAATTTTTTTTTTTTTTTTAAAAAGTTTATGATAAGGAATGGTTACTACAGAAACAATAACCCTAACCAATTGTAGAGGCCATCCAATTTTTTAATAAAAAAAATTAAAAAAATAAAAAAGGTTGGATATCAGGACCTTTATTCCTTGTTTCGTAGTGACTTTTGTTTTCAGTGTTTTTATTTTATTATTTTCTTTTTTAAATATGATGCATTCTCACCTTCCGTCATTTTTTATTTTTTAGCCTCATTTGTTTGTTTGATTTAGTTATTTCTCATTACCTATCTAATAATTTATCTTTAATTAACTTACTCGTTGTCAGAAATATTTTATTCAAAATGTGAGGGTGGGACTATTTTTTTACCCTTAAAGAATATCATTAACCTATTTTTTTCTTTCATTAATATCTTTCTAGACACTTTCGCAAATGTCAAATCCATCCTGCTGATTTTTTTTTCAAATTAAAGTTAGATTTTTTAAGAAAACAATTTTAAAAGTTGGTTCAAAAAATCATAAATTTGCCACATAAGATTTAGTCATATGTGGCATGATACGATACCTTAGATTTTATCTTTCTGGAGTTTGCTTTACTATAATATATATAGACTTCTTTCCAGGAAAAAAAAGGAACAAAAAATTAAGAGCCCAATATTTAGCCGCATAGACCCCTTAATATTTGTTGAAAACACGAAATATTTAGCAGTCATACACGATTAGACAAATAAATTTATCTTATTAAAAAGCACAAATGTTTTTTTTAGGAAACAGAAACTGGAATAAAAAAAATTAAGTATATAACCAATTCAACAGTCACTGTACTATTGTTGGGATGTAGTGTGCATCAGAAATCTATGCAAATTTTCAATGGAATGATGAGCACAACCTGAACTTGAAATTCATTACCAAGATTAACTAAACAGAGGTAATAATCAAAGTATGCTAGATTTCAAAACAAATAGCACCGTTAGAATCATGATTTCATCAGTATTCAGGAAGAACCATTTCGTCAGTATTCAAAGCCGTTTCTTGATTCCGTTTTTGCATGACAAAACAAACAGCTTCTCAACTATTTTGCTTTCTATCCATCTTTAGACCATTTTTGTGAGATCCCGAGTGTTGAGACCCCCTTACTTAGCGAGTAATAATTGATTCATGTATAAATTAGTATATTTATTTCTAATGTATGTACATTTTTCCATTTAGGTTCAAGAAAGATAAACTAAAAATTTGGATTTCAAAACGTTAAAAAGGAAGAAGAAAGAATAGCCATAATTGAAGCCTTTTAATATTTTTATTCTTTGCCAGAGCCATTTTTATCCCCGCTACATCAACCCATCACCATAGTATTTTAACTCAATTCCATATTTGAAGCTAAATTATAGAAGTTTCAGGTTGGCCTAACTTCTTTAATTATTTTAATAAAATATTAATATAAAATTCTTTTTGTCCTAAGGAAAGAAAGGACCGGAAAGTTTTCCTGATTCGCATTAACGCAACATTTCTTGTCCTCTTCGTCTTCAACGGGTTCCACCGGCCAGCTCCTCCATTTTCTCCATTTTTGTCCGGTTCTACACTCTTGAAATAAAACCCTATAGCCAAAAAAAAAAGATACCGCGAAGATGCAAGCAATTTCCCTTCATAAAGATTCAAGCCCGGATAGTAAGCAGGATTGTTATTAAAAAAAAAGAACATGGAAATTTCTCTAATCCTTCAAATGATGATTTAATTATCTGATACACTCCAGAACCATTTGCAACACTCTCGGTACAACCTCACCACACCAGGTCACCATCAACCCAAAAAACAAATCCTACATAAAAATGAAATTAATTTCCATGACTGATGATCTGAATTTTAGAAGCTAATTTCTTTTATATATACAAAATAGGGGAAAAAAATCAGTTTTATATAGTGTTGCTATTATAGAAAACAAAACAAAAAGCTACCACCATGATCAATGGCTTCAGATGGTGAAACCTTGAAAAATGACTTTGAATCAAAGTGGCTAAATTATTTGGAGAAATTTCACCAGTGCAGCAAATGCTGATTTGATACTGTCGAATAAAAAAACAAACAAATTATAAGTACACCAAAAGTACAATATTATTAATCCTGGAGAAAGCCATCAAACCTCGCAAATGATTTGTCATCATCAGTGGTTTTCCACCATGGCCGCAGTATAACCCATCATAAGACTATACCCGGATCATATGATCTGGGTATAGTCTTATGAAAATCAGCAACAAAAAGAATGAGAGAAAAGAAAATTATGAAAATAAAAGGTTAAAGGGTTTGAATTCGAGTCACCAGGTTAGAGATACAAATGATTCTCCAAAATCAAATTGTAACTCCAGAAACATTATCTTGGGATGATTAATGAAGTATAAAACTAATAAAATGAAAATCTCATCGTTAGATAATACAAACATACGGCATCATAGAGAGGCTGCATGGCCTTCTTTACTCACAAATCACATACCCTCTCTTTCTCTAAATGATTATCCAATTTAAATTTTTATTTAATGTCTATTTTTGGACGGAAGAAGTAAAAAGTTTGCCAAAAGTCAAGGATCAATGAAAGGCCACATTAAATACATAAAAGAGACTATTTAAAAAGTAGAAGCAGCAAGGAGAATAGTAAATAAAATGCAACGGTGTTGGGAAACTTTCCCTTCCTCAAACGATCAATAGGTACACTTAATTTTATAATAAAATCCTTAATGTGCCACTAAATATCAAATCATATACTAGAATGTCCACAAAGTACTCAAAAACCAAATACCCTAAGTGTGTAGAATGCCCTTAGCATCAATCAGGAGAAATTCAAGACAAGCTATATCTTCAGATTTTGCATGTGTTGGTTTCCAAGTGTGTGGCACACGAACATTCACTCTCCAATTGGACTTGAACCTTGTGAGGTAATATCTTCTAACAAATCAAAACAATAATCGTAGGCCATATGAAAGTTTGACTTCGTATAATGAAAAGTTGAGTCGGTAAGATTCGTGGTTTTGTATGAAAGAACCTTGAAACCCAAATTGTGTATATTTATAGGAATTGTGGGATGCGATGCACACGCACCCAAGGAAATAATCTTTAGCTTTGAAATTGAAAACTCTGATAAACTTCTGGGATTGGTTGAAATCATCTGCTCTGATGTTCAAACAAAAATATATCATCGGTTGATTTGATATACTCCATGAACCACTTTATTTGTAAGTGAGATCAGATTAATATATGAATTTGAAATTTGAACGAGAATCCTTCTTCTCTCTGAACAATAAGTGAAGTGGAGCGGTTGCGAGAGGAAGCCAAGAGGAGGCGCAAACTGAGCAAATCAGTATATTGAAATTTGGAATACTGTTATGTAAAAATCTGTCCCTTCTATCGTTGATTAGGAGGAAGAGATCCATCCATCGGATTTGTAGGGATTTGGTCGAATTAATATAAGGTTTTGATTTTTTCAGTTGCGTTTTGTTTTTTTTTGTTTTTTTGGTTTTTATTGTTTTGTTTTGTGCATTTATATATCTAGAAAATTAAGAAAATACCACATAGGATTAGGATAAAATCCTATGTGACATGTACTCTTGACTTTAGATTTCTTTATCTGGTTTTTGCCTTAGTATAGTATATAGAAGATTATGTGAAGGATTGAGGTGATATCTGGATTTGGAAGTTAAATAATAGGTGTCTAGCATTTAATTGAAATTAATATTATATAGGATGAAAGTTTCACGATGATAGACCATGATTTAAAAAAAAGGTTGGCTGAAAAAATGCAAAGAAAAAAAATCATTTTTTAAAAAATAATATTTATTAGTTTTATATTATTTTATTTTTTGTACAATTTAATTTTTTTTATTTATTTAATGTTATTTTGTGCAATATTATTTCATTAATTTAACATTATTTTGTTCAGTATTGTATTATTTGGAAAATAAATACTTTAATTTCTAAAAATACCGTTGTTCACTTAATTGTTAATATGGTTAAACTGCTAGAATAGTGTCAAGGAACTGAAAAGATATAAATTAAAAGGTGGGAGACCATTTCCGCCAAATATTAATCAAGCGGTTCGTCTAATGGAGATGACTAATTTCAGAATTTAGTCAAATGATGTAATGACACCTTTTTCTGTAATGTATTTGTAGATGAGGTATAAAATCATAGCCGCGTCTGCATAGAATTGACCTGCATGACAATGTTTTGCCTTTCTCAAGGCCCTTGGCACTGTTTTCACACATTTCATAATTTTAAGTTAACATATATATAAGGAACAGTTTCCTTTAGAGAGGGCTAAGATCTTTCATAGTAAGGGTATAATATATATCTTCTTATGTATGAGTGCAGAAGTTAGTTATCTAAAAAAAGAAGTAAATAACTAATTGTTCGAACTACTTTTGAAATGATGTACATTATCTCCGAATATGAAAAAACTCATTTCAAATGCACAATATCGAATAAAATATAATTTCTTAAGAGAATAGTACAAACTTCAAATATTTCTAAAAATTAGCATATTCATCATTTTAATAACGCATGTAGTTCACAAGTACAAGAGACACAATGAGTGGAGAAACTTGAAAAAATAGCACTTAGAAAAAATCTCGTGCTTTTAAGCTATACTTGAATAATCTGACATTAAACTTCTACATGCATAGTGGACTAATTTCCTCGTTATAAGTATATGCAAATTTTGAATACTGCCAATACATGTCATAATGATAATTTTATTTCAGGAGCTATCCCAGAAGAAATTGGCAAGCTATCCGATCTTCAATTTATCAACTTGGAGTTTAATAAGTTAACTGGTTTTATTCCAGTACATATCTTTAACATCTCAACCATAACACTACTTAGTTTTGCCGGAAATGACCTTTACGGTAACATTCCAGTATCAGCGGGTTACAACCTTCCCAATTTAGAGCATATTTATCTCGAAATGAATAGTTTAACTGGAGCTATTCCCAACTCTATCTCAAATTGCTCCAATCTTCAAACTCTTGAACTCTCAGATAACCATTTCACAGGGCCCGTTCCCAACTCCCTAGGTGACCTTAGATTGCTTCAACGTTTGTATATCCACCAGAACAATTTAATAAGTGATCCTTCATCTCCTATTTTAAACTTCATCTCCTCATTGTCTAATTGCATCTATCTTGAATTAATCTCTATGGGTGACAATCCGTTAGATGGCATTTTGCCTGATTCAGTCGGAAATCTTTCTTCCACACTACAATACATGTATGCTCACAATTGTAGAATTGGCGGAACCATTCCAAGTGGAATTGGAAATTTAAGTACCCTAAGCCTATTAGATCTTAATGGTAATCAATTGGTAGGGTTGCTGCCAAGTACAATGAAAAATATGCAAAAACTTCAAGGACTGTATCTGGGTACAAACAAAATGAGCATTTCTCTACAACTTTTTTGTGCATGCAAGAACTTGGGGTTTTTAGCTCTTCAAGGGAACCATATAGTTGGGGATACAATTCCAGATTGCCTTGGAAATATTACTTCCATGAGAGAACTTTTCCTGTATTCCAATGGATTAAACTCTAGCATACCTGTGAGTTTATGGAACCTCAAAGATCTATTGAAGCTTGACCTCTCTTCAAATTTGTTAACTGGCTCTCTACCTCCTGAAATCAGTAATTTGAAAGTGGCAGTGTTTATAGATTTCTCTAATAATTACTTCTCAGGTAATATTCCTAGCACCATCACAAATCTAGAAAATTTGCAGAATCTTTCTTTAGCACACAACCAATTGCAAGGACATATTCCAGAGGCGATTGGTAATATGTTGGCTCTACAACAACTGGATTTATCATACAACTTTTTATCAGGCTCCGTTCCAATGTCAATGGAAAAACTTCAAGACCTTGTTTTCTTCAATGTTTCCTTTAACAATTTGAGTGGCGAAATTCCTTCAGGAGGCCCTTTTGCAAATTTCACAGCTGAGTCCTTCATATCCAATCAAGCACTCTGTGGAGCAACAAAATATCATGTCCAACCATGTCCTGATCATTTAAATTCTCGTGTGAAGACTAGCATGAATTTGCATAAATTCGTAGTAATTTTGGTTGTGTTGATATCATTTGCTAGTATCACGTCCTTGGGGCTTATATACCAGAAATACAGAAATAAACGTAAAGCAAATAATGTTGTTCAGGAAGGGTTCTCCTCAAAAATACACAGAAGGATATCATATTACAAACTTTTGCGAGCAACAGACAATTACAGTAAGAGTAACTTGTTGGGTACTGGAAGTTTTGGATCTGTTTACAAAGGCACTCTTGAAGATGGCCAGATCGTGGCTGTTAAAGTATTCAATTTGCAAGTAGAAGGATCATTCAAGAATTTCGACACAGAAAGTGAGGTATTACGCAACCTTCGCCATCGGAACCTAAGAAAAGTCATTAGCTGTTGTTCTAATCCTGACTTCAAGGCGTTGGTTCTAGAATACATGCCCAATCACAGTCTAGACAGATGGTTGCATTCAAGTAATTATATTCTCAATGTTACGCAACGACTAAACATACTGATTGATGTGGCATATGCTTTGCAGTATCTTCATTATGGTTATTCGAAACCTGTTGTTCATTGTGATCTGAAGCCTAGTAATGTCCTACTTGATAATGAAATGGTTGCACATGTTAGTGATTTTGGCATTGCAAAATTTTTGGGTAAAGAAGGAAACACTACATTCACCAAAACGTTACCTACGCTTGGTTATGTTGCCCCAGGTATGATTGTCTTTTCCTTTTTTTCTTTTTTAAGACAGCGAACTTGAAGTTGTCTAATATAAAAAGTTTATAATAACAAGTTAATGGCATTTTGTTTTAACAGAGTACGCTTCGGAAGGGCAAGTATCGACAAGATGTGATATTTATAGTTTTGGAATCTTGATAATGGAAGTTTTCACACGAAAGTGTCCAAGCGATAAAATGTTTGGTGAAACTTTGACTCTAAGGAGTTGGGTTCAAGAGTCAATGCCTGATAGACTATCAACGGTGATCGATGTTGAATTGTTATCAACATTCAGTCAACACTTTCATGAAATACTTGTCAAGATTTTATCAATAATGGATATTGCTCTGACTTGTACGACCGTGTCCCCAAGGGAAAGATGTAGTATAGAAGAGGTCCTTGGAAGTTTGAATAAGATCAAACTACAAATGCTGCCACATACAAATGGATCTTGTTGAAGGTGAAAAGTTTTGTATATGTTATGTTTTATATAAGGAACTAAGCTCCTAATTTATTTTGTATACATGTCGCTGTTATTTTACTAAGCCTTATTTGAAATATCAAAATCCTCGTCCAATTAAGCTAGAGCACTTTTATCGCTACAATTTGTGCTACGTGCTACAAGTTGGGAACCTTAGAAGAGAAATTTCAATTGGAATGTGTTGCAAATAGGTAGGTGAATTTTATTTATTTATTTTTATTTCTTATATTTACAAGATGAAATTAAAATGGCTTAAGGATGATGATGACAATAACGTAATTTACACATAAATTACACCTTTTATAGTGCTGAATTTATTGCAAAATGCATAAGTTTATATGAATTTTGTCCGAAATAATGGAGTTTATTTGTTATCTATTCATAAAAGTAATGTTAGCAAAAAAATGCAGTTTAAAGAGGCGAGAAGGGGAATTTGTGCATAAGAAGAAAATTTGAAAAAATCACGATGCACCCTAAGGACGTCCCAAACCTCATATCACACATTGGAGGCAACTATTAGGGTTACTCACAGAGAGAAAAATGTCGAAATAATTGGTGATCACTTCAACAACAAGATCCCGAGCAAGATTCAAATTGGTAGGGAATTACTCTCATAGAGTTTGCATTCTCTCGACTTTGTGAACATAAATTCATTTCCTCAGTGTTTTAGCAATTTTTTTTTTTTTACGTATTGCTAAACACCCTTCAGGGTTCACTTTCAAAGTGCAAGAAGGTTGTTTGATTAGTTGTTGAATTTATTTCACAAAATTGAACGTCTTAATTGTTTGTTCTCCATTTATACTCGGCAACTGCATTGATCACTTATTGTTGGTGCATGAGAACTTTCATAGATCTAGTAATAGGTTATGTTAGTTAGGTTTATCATCTTGGGTTATGATCACTTGAGCATAAAAGCTCAAGGTTTCATGCCATATAGAAATATACCGCCATGGCATGATTTACCTCATAGGTTCTTGTGTGTAATAACTTCATGGCTGAGTACTAACATAGTAATATATGTGGTGCTTTGTTGTTGAGATGTTTTGTTTAGTTTGGAAGAACCTTTGAGACATTGTAGCGTACCGGCTAACGTCTATCACCATAACTTTAATAGCTAATTGGCAGCTAGATTTGAAATTGATATTAGCCCTTGTCTTCTCCATATTTGAAATCCATTTTTCTCAATTAATTCATTGTTAGTAATTTGATTCTCTAAAATCATTTATTCACTCAGTTACTGGCACTAAGAGAGAAGTTATTAGCAACACTTAGTTAACTTGCACGTTCTCATGGAATCGACACTCCTTGCCAAAACTATAGTAGCAACCCGTAATCTTGCAAGAAATAGGAGTCATTGTGCCACTACTATATTTGAGAATCCATTTTACTTAATTAATTCATTGTTAGTACTTCGATTCTCTTAAAATCATTTATTCACTCAGTTACATGCATTAAGAGGGAAGTTATAAGCAACACATAGTTAACTAGCACGTTCGTGGGATCGACACTCCTTGCCACTACTATAGTAGCAACCTGTAATCTTGCAGGAAAATAGGAGTCATTTTGCACTCATCAGATGACTCAAACACAATGTACTTTCATGCATCGCTAAAAGAATAAAGAAGATCTCTGCTTCAAATTAAGTCGGACTATGGTGTGTGGATTATGGAGCCAGTAGTTCTATTGATAACCAAGCGGTTTGATTTTTTAAAGTTCTAACGACGGAGGAGCTGTTAGGGAGAAAATAGGAGGCACAACATGTTGCAATTAACATATTCTATCTTTGTTGTCTGATGAGGATGAAAGTGATCAAATGAGGCTAGTAAATATTTAGGAGGTACATGATGCAGTCTTTGGGTTGGATCTGGCTATGGTTGATGGCTTCGGAAGAGAGTTTTATATACTGTATCGGGGGAATAATTTCGCTACACTATTTAGCTTACTGAGACTTCATGGCTGGTGACTGGTGTTCATATACTCCGACCTATTGGAATCACTCCTATTACTCTTATTCTAATGAAAAACAATGTGAAAACCATTCTTGGGTTACTGACCTATATCAACTTATGCAATTTTGTCACCGGAATTTTCACAAAGATGTTAACCGATGGGATTAAGCGGAAACTAGATTTACTTATTTCTAGGAATGCAGAAAAGTGTGCTGGGAGTGCAAACCCAATCCCACCTCGTTGATGAGAGAGTTCCAAACTCAATATATAAAGCTAATGAGTTACTCCTTCTATTATAAATTGGTACTCGATCTTGCAACGACTCGTAGGCTCAAAGAGTGGAGTCGATGCCATGGTTCTACTCCAGTTGATGTGCGGATAGCGTGGCATGTTCTCCCAGTTCGATCTTGCAACGACTCGTAGGTTCAAAGAGTGGAGTCGATGCCTAGTTGTGGGTCTCCTATAGAAACTCTTGGAGTTGGTGCCTAGTTGTAGGCCTTGTGTTGAAAGTTAGTGGTGGTCAGGCGGCGGGTTCCGTGGATGATAATGGTGGTACAAGTTGGATTGTTATTGAAGGGGAAGCTCAAGTGTTTGGTCTTCTGTTTGAGGGGAGGTTTGTTGGGTGTGCAAACTAAATCCCACATCGGTGACGGAAGAGTTCTAAGCTCAGTATATAAGTCTGGTGAAATACTCTCTAAATTATCAATTGGTTTTAAAGTAAAACTCTTTTGGACTTATATATTGGGCTTGAAAAGTGATAGGCTAAGAAAGAAGGATCTCAACAAAGTGTTCAGCACATTAATGTTTCAGGAATGCAGCAACTTTGCATACAGTTTACAACAAGGGGAGATATAATTTCCCACATTAATGTTTCAGGAATGCAGCAACTTTGCAGTTTACAACAAGGGAGATATAATTTTCCTTTCTTCAGAAAATAATTATCGTTTTTTTCCCTAAAAAAATTATTATAGAATTTCTCTTCTTTCAAACTTGGTTCAAAAAAATTATTATGCTCGACCTCTCTTCATATATACCCAACTACGTACTGAATTTGAAAAAATAGTCTAAGAATGGAGACTCGGCATTCGAGGAAAAATTGAAATTGAAATGAAATAGGTTAAAAGTAAAGATAAAGTGAAGAAACAAACTTTGATAAGCAAAGAGCAATGCATTTTCACGTCTGTCGTCTATGGTTTGTAAATGAATACCATAGGTAATTTTTATGTACTACTTCATAATGGCGTTCCTTTGATTTCATACCCAAAAAGGGTCTTTGAATTTCACTCTATTTATATGCGTTGACAATTTCATTTCAAGTTTGCATGGCCGAGATTTTTTTCCATTTAGGTACATTGAACAAAGAATATGGACTCTCTCTTTAAATAAAAAGGATATGTAATTAGTGTTTTGCTTTCTCCTTTTCGACGGTGAATTTCAATATAGATTCCAAGGATGAGTTGAAAAAATGAACAACTACGATTTAGGTCGGCACATAGTCACATATCACATACATGGAAGAACTGACAAGGGAAAATGATAAAAAATGATGTGAAGTTAATCATATCATTCTACTTTTTATATTTTTCTTTTAGGTTTTATACATTTCAACTTATGGGGATAGTTCAGGTAATTAGATTTTAAGCACGCCGTACCTTATAACATTTATTTTTATTTTTTATCGTATGTACCATTACTCTTAATTGTTGTTTAAAAAATAAAATGATGATAAGAAGAAGGCTGCTCGCAATGGCTGCGTTCTGACTTCAAGTAGTGTTTAAGCACTTCTTACGAGTTTTTTACAAAAATAATTTTCAATGAATTGACCTGGACAAAAATATATATTTCAAATTGGGATGGACAAATTTAGTTGTCTCGAATCTGCCAAATCCGAAAGTACACAGATTCGGATTTGGCAAATTCGAATCTCCTTGTAATACAATTATCTCATGAATCATTTCTATGGGGTAGATTCGGATGTGTCAAATCTGAATTTAATACAAAATGAGTAGATTCCAATTTAGCAAATCTGACAACTAGTTTTGTCTACCTAAAATTAAAAAAAAAAAACATTTTTGTCCAGCTTTTTTTTTGGAAATATTTTTGCCGAAGCACCCGAGTACTTACTGACTTTTTATCTTTATTAATGCATCATTTCAAAGGTGGGCTTCACTCAAGTCCTACATCTCTATAAATGCTGCATTTCCGTTTCAACCTCTACTGTATATTTGTGGTTCCCTGGGCACTATTAACTAAAGAACTTGACACAATAATTTACTGGATGTTTGTGCCCGACGACCCTTACAATTATAATAAACTTGAAGTCAGAAAGCAGCCATTGGGAGCAGCCGGCTAGCCGCTTAACTTTAGGCAATTGTTTCACAATAATTTTCCAAAGAGTGCTGATAGTTTTTCGTGTGAATATATTACGTACCCACAAAATCATTGCTCGAACTAATCTAAATTCGAGTGGAGAAAGACCAAATAGTGTTGATTTTTATACGACTGATATATTGTCAAACTTTTTTCAACATATAAAATGGAACAAGTAACAACTATATTAATCTACAAGAAGTAACGCGTCCTCAATCTTATTTATTAATGGCTGCTTTCTAGATAATGTCATAAGAAACCATGTGAACATATATAACCTTGCATTGCAATATGATTCATGAACATTTACACATACACAGATTTCGAGAGATCTTGACTTGAGAACTGAAGGATTGAGCTTTACCTACAAAAATAATATACGATGAATATTGTTTCCAGGTATTCCCTCCTGATCAATATGGTTCTTCTGTTGCCACGTTTTGTTACAGTTTGCTTAGCCATGACCACAAGAAACATCACCACGGATCAGCTTGCTCTTCTTGCCCTGAAATCCAGTATCACCGAACTACCTTCTCGTCAAATATTGTCGAAAAACTGGACGGTTGGTTCCTCCATTTGCGACTGGATTGGAGTCACTTGTATCAAAGAATCCCAATCCCACATCGGTGTTGGGAGACTCTGTGTCAGGAAATGGGGCGTCTTTGCAATTTTATTATAGTACGGGATCAAAGTTTCAGTCCTCAGGTCTTCGGGTTATCAATGGCATTCAATCAATCTCAGGGACTCAAGTGCCAAGTTCAGTACTTTAGCTATTTTACAGTATACCTTACTGTTTAACGTTTTACTGTATTTATATTTACCTTTCCAGAACCATCTCGGAAATCACGGAAATGCCGTGTTAGGTTGTTCAGTTGACTG